CAAATGTTCTGTAATGCAAATTTGCCATTTTAAATATGAGGAGAAAATTAAAAGAGAGGACATCATATGTCATGTGTTGATTGAATTTTTGTGGCATTCTCATCACTTAAATATTTCATAGCAACATTTTTATAGTAGAACTGCAAACAAAGCTGACTTATTCCCCCTGTGCTGTACTTTTTACAGTTTTTTAAAAACCTTAACACTCCCCTCTCCCTGACTGTTGAGCTGTCTGAGCACATCTTGCATCCCCGTTAACCTTCTCCCCTGGCACAGTTTGGTACTTCTGAAAGTTTAATCAGTGGGGTGAATAATTTACCATGTAGCAGCTGGGGGGCTACATGGTGAAGAAAGAGCCCCCCCCTTAGTCATCAAAACATTTTTGCCCACTCATCTAAAGAGCTATTTCTGTAGGATGTAATATCAATACTCAAATAATACAAACAGGATCACATGGAACCAGAAACTGTGGCAAAAGGTTCAAGTTTCAAGTTCAGATGAAAGACTGATATGATAATTAAGTGAATACCCCCCAGTGAACCACAGCACATCACTCGTCTAATAATCAAATATTTATTTATGCAGAAAGTTGGTTAGTCTCTTTACTTTCAGTTAAATTAAATCAGAAGAAATTTGAAGAAGGTGGAATGTCTATGGTAGTGTCTTACAATGTAGCTCAAAGACCATCTTATGATAATATAACCATAGTAATATTTCTCATATTTCTGATTATTTCTCATATTTCTGATTATGCAAAAATCATCATGGTGTCATTGTTTGTTGCTTGTAGAGATGACTTACTCAAGCTCAGATGGTACAACTGTACAGCAGTGAGTCATCATCATCATCATCATCATCAACATCATCATCATCATCATCATCATCATCATCATCATCATCATTATCAGTTGTAGCCCTGGGCTACAACTGATAATGATGATGATGATGATGCAGTGGATTGTGATAGATGCATTTTGTAAATGAACCAGTCTTTCCATTAGTCCCAGTTTGTGTCCCTCTCATTTTCAGCACAAAATCAACCACAAGAAAACACAGACACATAATCACTACAGGCACAATGGTTAATTGCGAGGTTGCTGTGTATGTGTGTGTGTGTGTGTGTGTGTGTGTGTGTGTGTGTGTGTGTGTGTGTGTGTAAAATGCACTTGACCTCATACCTTTAAATGCCCAGTGTTTGTGTAGTACATCTCTCTGGTTTCCTGCTCTCCATGCTCTCCTGTGGCTCCTTCTTCCTTTCTTTGTAATTTTCCTTGGAAGAGGAGGCTCAGCGGAGGTGACTGTTTGTCTGGACATGGGGTTCTTTCCAACAGGTACCAATGTAACAGGATTTGTTAGCTCTATTGTTTATAGTGATTACTGATTTGTCATTTTGTAATTTTTTTTTTTAAGTGTCTGAGCTATTAAAACGATACCAATGCATTCACTATAGAGGCTAGAGAGGTTCCCAACATTTGTTTTTACAGGAATCTTTTTCAGAGCCGACATTTTGACACGTCACAGCAGGAAAAGCACAGGTGTAGTTAATAACCCTAATTAAGGCTACAGTGCATTTACCAGAGCCATGGTGAAATGCGTGCTAGTATGTGCAAAGACAACAAAAAATGTGTATCTGTTGGTATCAGTTTGGTGTATTGTATACTGCTGGGCAAACCTCGGATACTGGTATCACTCTAAAAAGCATTATGAGTATTAGTATTAGTATAAGTTTTTGTGTCTGCATTCAGAAATTAGTCACAATCAGAAGAAATATCCCAACATCTGTCCCATCTGGTTCCCTGATGTGTTAACCACAGTTTACATTCAGCACCAGAGCTGCAATGTGTATGTGTGATGTCACAAACTGGTTCATTGTGTGTGACAAGGAAGGAAATCGCACCAAGGTTGAATGCCAGCGATAAACTGAACCACTGTGGAAGATTACTTTATGCCTCAGAACTGCTTTCCATAAACAGAGCAGGCAGGGAGGTAGCAATGGAAAGGCCAGTCTCTGTCTGTGCATGACAAATACTCAAATATGAATACCATACCATTCATTCATCTTTCGGTTTGTTTTCCTGAGCTTCCAAGATCATCAGGGTTTGAAAGTGAGAACCGGACCATACGTGATAGGAAGGATGAGTACTATTCATAATATTTTTATATACTGTGTATGCTGGGAATCATGTGAGGACATTTGAATCTATTGGCAGCGGGGGATGTCTCCATAAATAACATGGTCTTTCTTAACCTACATTCTTAACTGATCCTGTCTGTACTAAACCTCAACAATCATGGTCCAAGTACTGGCCAAGTTCAAAACCAAGATTGGTCCAAATACCCAGAACACTTTTATCTCAGCAGGCACTTCAATTGATTAATTGTAACTCAGACAATCAATAGTATGATAGCTGCTTTTGCAGAACTGTGTCACCTGAAACTCAAATAACTCAAATAAATAACTAAGTCACTTGCCACTTGACAGACCACTGATAGCTCACCGGTCTCACTGGACTGACAATCTGTCCAAAAAAAAAGCATCAGCACCATTTTATTTAAAGCACATGGTGATGTGTCCATACGCTTATTTCCAATCAGCCATAGCTGTACGAGGGAGTTTTTAATTCCTTTTGAGCTTAAACTGCTTAATTTCCTCCCACTCCAATAATGGTTTCATCTCCGTAAATGGAGGGCTGGTGCAGTTCAATCAGTGTAACTGTCACCAGACACAGCAGTTGAGTTTCACTTTGAAACAACTTACTAGTGAATGTTTACCAATGAACAACAAAGAACAAAATCATTCAATGCATGATTGTTTTTTCAAGGTCAAACTATCACATTTATGATAAGACAAGCACGGACAATGTTGATGTAATATGTTCACATACACAAGGTTATAAACCATAAACATTAAATATATTATATGTATAATTTACTCTATAATTAACTAGATTCCTAAACATCATCAAAAAAAGAAAATTGAATGAGAAAATGTTCTTGATCAAGGTTATGCCTTGGTGCAGATGATGCAGTAACATCAATATTTTTGCATGAAAATGTGCTCTATAATATTGTTAGCATCTTAGTGTCTTTTGCTTTTTTTAAGCATACTGCAACAAAAACATAGCTGCATAATTTAATTGCATTGGCTCGGTAGAAGTGTATATTTTTGGAATGATTGGTGCGTAATCCAAATGATCTTGAAAGTACTCTTCCATCACACTCCCGCTGCCCTGTTAGATTTCATCCTGTCTTTTTGCTCCTCAGGGGTGATTCAGCCAGATGAAAATTGTTTGGAACTATTTGTGCCTCAGAGGAAAAAAATAAAAATAAAATATTTTGGTCACTCATCTGTCTATCAGCCTCTGAGTGAATAGTAATGCACAGACAACATGAGTGACTGTTCGGACTGATCATGAATCATCCTCCTGAGGAATAAAAAGGTTACAGGCTGCAAAAGGAAGTAAAAAAAAATGTCTGTGACTGAAAGATCCCAGAGCTGTAGAGGTGCAGTGCTCACATAGGAGGGAGGATTCGAGTGAACAGGGGCTGGCATGGGTGAGTAGTGGGGTTGGTATGACACAGAGTAGGGCAGAATAATGAATATGCACTATTTATAGGAACACAACGACAGCGTGGTATCCTTGCAAAACATGCCCCTGTACCCTCTCTGTGTGCTTTTCAACAATGAAGATATAAATCATGACACAATGACTTAAATTTTATTGAGATTAATTGGCGTCATATTTGAAAATAAATGTACTTCACATCTTTTTATGATTGCAGAGCTGTAGTTATTTGCATCCTGTTATGATAGCCAAAAAAAAAGAAAAAAAGGTCACGTTGCTGTGACACTTAGCTAATGCAACATTAATTAACATTAACATACTTGTGTTTTCTGGCTAGGTTTTATGTTTACAGGTCATTTAAAGGTCATTAGTTACTCTGTAATATCCCTGCTCTTTACAAACGGTACAGCAATGGCACACACTTGTCCCACAGAAGAAATCAAGTAATTGCATATTATTTCATATTTAATCTCATATTACATATTAAGAATAATAAGACTTGAATCATCAATTTCATTGAGTTTCTGTTTCCCCAAACTTCTGTCTGAATGAGCTAGAAATTACAGGTGCCAAAAAATCCACCAAACCTATAGATTGGTAATGATGTTTCCTTGGTGATCACAGGAGCAGAGAGCTTTACAACTGAAAATATACACACCATCTCCCCCTTGTGTTGATGTTTCAAGTGGTCATAGAGGCAGCACTGGACTGAACGTGTTAATAATCATAACTGTGCTCTCTTTCAACATTGAAATGATGTATGCATCATTGATTTACAGTACATTTGAGACACATTATATATGCTGAAGACACAGTGTATGTAGTATGGTCAATATATATATGTACTGTTGTTATCTGCATCAAGTAAAGCTGAGTCAACTTTATTTGTATAGTTGAAATCACAAAATTTGCCTCTAATGGCTTTACAATCTGTATCACATATGAAACCTTCTGTCCATAGACTGTTGATTCAGATAGGAGGAAAACTTCCCAAAATAAACTAGCAACAGCAGGGCTCACCCTCATGCCACAGGATTCATATGGCTCTTCAGGGTCCTGCCCCAGCTGAGGGTCAGCACCCTGGACAGCGACAGTCGATGCCAGCTTTGCCAGAGCACATTCAGCACCTTGGTCAGTGATGGCCACACTTGCCCCCCAGGGACAGTCGAGTCGAGCCGCATGTTGTTGAGGGCACTAACAGTGCTGTGGTGTGAAGGCCCATAGGCTCTGCCATGTGCTGTTTGTTTGTGCCCTGAGCTGCTGGTTGTGTTTTGTGTCTTCTTTCAGAACCCGGTAGGTGAAGATTGTATTAGTGAAACTGGGTCCTCGTGGCCAGTCCATCCAGAATGCTTTTAGGATCAGTCATCTTGATTCTTTCCCTCTCTCACTCCTTTTGTTTGGTTTGGTTTGGTTTGGCTGCACTTATCTTTATTTTATAGTATATAGTACACATTCACACATCCTCTAGACAACCATTACCATGACCATTTTATATATCCAGTTAATATGTTTAGTTGTATTTTCTATAAATAATTATGATTGTATGATTGTTTGATTTCTCCATACAACCATGTACATTTCCTCTCTCATGGCTGTAGGGCTGGGTGGTGACAGTAGCTAAAACCCAGCTGGAGTCATAATACTATTAAGAGCAAACAATGGGTTTGGGTTAAGGCTAAAAAGAATCATCTGTCGGTTTGACAGATGTGGTGCCTTTTGAACCTAACATACCATCATAAAGTATAAACATAAACACTTACATGGTTTTCAAAGAGACTTCCAGAACAAACGATAACACACCACTGCAAATTGTTGGCCAGGATACAGCAGCACCCATACCAGGTAATTCAAATATATCACAAGACTTTGTCTATTCCCCACCCAGGCTAACTGTGATTATTAGCAATTAGCTGATGGTTATCAAATTGACTTTCTCTTTCCTGGCTGGCAGGCTGAGTAATCTACCAACCTACATGTTCAGTCTTGTTGTCCGCTGCTGTATCTATTTGCAAGGCTTAAGTTCAGATATTTGGGTGGAGCTTTGTGGTCTCTCTCCTGTTTGGATTATCTTTCAGCTGAGGTGAAATGAGTCGAGTCAGGAGATTGTCTGAGATTTTTGGCGGCAGCATCGTCCGCATCTAGAGAATCTGGAGATTTGGTCTCGTCAACGTGTGAACGTTGACAGATGTTCTTTGTGTGAACACAAAGAAATCTCACTTTGTTGGCAGACAGTCTGGAGACCGAGTCACTCCCATCTATCTCATCTAACACCATTGACTTTTTTTTCTTTCAACTTTGCATTTTAAGACTTACCTGTGACACATCAGTTGTACAGCAACAACATTTGAACATTTTACCATGATAGGTCATATATGAGTGCACTTTTATTCTATTTTTAAACACATAGCCTAAAGGTTTATTAGTGAAATAATCAGGAGTAGTTTAAACAATGATGCATTTGTTGTAGTTATTCTCAAACCGCCAGTAAAAAAAAAAAAAAACTGGGCTTATTTTTGGAAATGCACTTACTCAAATTCTCAGATTTGTATTTTGATCTTAAATTTTTCTATACAGTCAGGACTCTGTACTGAGAGGCACAGGTGCATTTTATTTTATTGCTCCTGGCACCTTTTTTTACACTTCATAAACCCCACACCCATGAAAGCACTTTTCTCTCTCATATTAGCCTTTATTTTTACCCAAAATGCTGCCATCAAGTTAAAATGTCTTTGTAGCCCTCATGCTTTTATTTAAGCTCTATGATTTTATAACACAAGATTATTTATTATAAGATCGGGACATTAAATGTTTTATTGTATTATTGTATTATTATATTATTGATTGTATTACTGACTATTGTAAGTCACTTTGGATAAAAGCATATGCCAAATGAGTAAATGTGTCAGCAGAGCACTGCAGCAATTGTAAAGAGTTGGAAATAGTCAAAGCATAAATGTTTCTGACTGACTTTTCAGTATAGTTTTCAAGTTTCTATTAAGTGTTACATCACAAAACATTGAATTGTAGATTCACTGTGGAAAGTACAGTTCCCTGAAATGATTTAGAAATTATCTGACAACCATACTGCAAATGATTGTGCACTCAAGGAAAATACTATATTACTCCAACTTACTTATTCTGAACCATAATGTGATAAACTTATTGCCAAACGTGAAATGAAACTTAAACTGGCTCTTTAACTGAACATTCAGTGCTGAATAATGATAATAATGAAGCAGCCTGGTGTGATCCCTGTTTGGAGGATCCCAGCATCTGTGAGGCGTCAGTTTAAAGACTCCTGCCCCTTCCATGTCACTGACACAGAGTTCACGTCAATCATCAATGTGCAGCAGGGAGAGGGCCGTGTTTCCTGATATTGTGGCTCGGTATTTTTATGGAGAAACTGTTGGCGTTGCAGGGAAAGGAGTGAGTAAACCATGATGCACAAGGATGAAAATGATAATTTGTGAACTTAAACATTGTCATCGTCTATGAAACATGACTGTGGACTCCTTTGAGGGCATTCATTGAAATTAATCGAAAACGCCAACATGGGAATACCGGTGACGTCATGGTTATTTCCCAGTTTTAAATGTTTGGGGGGTGAGAGCGCATTTAGTATCCCCTCTGCTCCAGTCTGCTTTCACTTCAGGGCAGTAGCCAGTTGAGAGAGGGAGGAGGGGTAAACTCAGGTTGGGGATTAGGCAATATTCATTGAGCGTGTGTGGACATTCACTGAGCAGCGGCAGCAACAGTTTCTACAAACCCAGCCTCCCCACAACAAAAAGTTAAATGGCTAAATACAAGCCGTGGCTGGTTTCCTGCTTCATCTTAGTGAGTTTAATTTGCGCTGTGGCTCTCATCTGTTTGTGCATCGGCTCAATCGCGGACAGAAGATGTCCCAGCGGCAGCTTCAGGCGCGCGGCTGTGGCTGCAGACTCCAAGAGCTGTTCAGAGATTGGCAGGTAAGTTTTACACTCCTTCTACTCTGACCGGGGGGGGGACGACAAAAATCTGTGTTGTGTCTAAAACCACACAAAAAGAAAATGCAAGAAATTTTGTAAGTTGAAAGTTAATTAAGTGTTTTTTGGTGTGTTGTTAGACTTCCAGTATTTTCACCTTGTGTGCTTCTTCTCAGTAATAACTGCACTCGCTCAAAACTTAGTAGGCAATCAGGCTATAGTACCCGCTGCTCCCTGCCTGAGATAAAAAGGCTGAACTGAGCGATGGGATAAGCAGTTTAAGAGATTTGGTCGGCTCTATATGAAGAATAGATTTAATACCTGCAGAACTGTGTGCAGACAGGTCATTCATTCTACTCACCTCTTGTTGATTTGTTTTTATACTATGCTGTTAGATGTGATTGTAGGAGAAAACCAGGTTTTAAAACCCACTGTCTGGTGTCAGTCTTTCTAATGAGGAGTGAAGAGACTTGGCTCTTTCTCTGATGTCCATTTATTCACTGGAGAGCCACTATGTGAACTCAACCAGTCATCACTGCATCTCTAAATTTAGGGGGGAAAAATTAGATAGTTTTCTTTTCTTTTTATTCTTTTTTCCTTTAACTGCAATGTGCATGAAAGTCATCCGGCTTTTGTTTTCATTGGCAGCAAGATTTTTTTTTTTTTTTTTCGTTTTTTTTTGTCCTCTGCCAAGATTTGTCAGGAGTTCATTTCCCAGTTCACAGCAGAGACAATGAATACAAGCTCCATTAAGTCCCACAGGGAGACACGCTGAGGCAACAGGCTGCATGTCCATGTCCATGTTTTTAACGACACCCTCTTCATTCTTACTACTGACTGAGCATCAATGAGATTAAGTGTTAAAGAAAACTTACAATAATGTATCTGTCTAAAGTGAATGGTGATTAAAAAGTCATATAAATATAAAAAGTCTTTTACAGTGTTTTAAGCTAAATCATTCAATTTCAACTTCTCTCTATTATTTACTCAGGAGTCAGGGCAGAAACATGTGAGATGACAGCATTTAACCTCATTGAAAATACTGACGATCATAATTACATAATGTTACCACAAACACTTGTAGGGACGTAGGGGACAAAGGCTAGGCTGATATCTGAAAGAATCTATCAGAACTGAGCCAATCTGCCACATTTCAGCGTCAGTTATCCTCCCAAAATCTGCCGGTGACACCAGCATTAATCATGGTTTTCCCTCGAGCTACATCATTTGACTAACACTTCGTCAGACAGATCCAGAGTATGTTCTGTCAAAGCTGGCTTTGGAGTTTCAGCAATTATAATCCAGTCTGCAGAAGTTTTTCCAAACTCAGAGTACACAAACACACACTGAGTACAAATGATATCATCAGTTCAGTGTTTCCCAAGCCCATAGATGCAAAATGTGCAACCTATACTTGATTTTGTCCTTGTTCAAAACTTGATTAACTTATGGCATCCCCTGTGTAGAGCCATAAACCAGTATCAACTGTCTGCCTGCACATGAGACACCTTTAATTAGATTCTTTTGATTAAATTATGGTTGTTTCCTCCTGTTACTTTTCCTCCTCTGTTAAACTCACCCATACTTCAATGTTTTTGGTCAGCCTAACCCACACAGAGCCAAAACATTCCCAAGACTGCCTTCTCTTGTCGCTCAGTGAACACATCTGACCCTGTGCCAGCTTCTTGGTGAAAAGACTCATTCACGGTTTCTTTCTGAGAAGGTTTAGATGTCAGGTTTCTTGCTCTGTTTTATAACATAGTTACGTTGCATAAGCCTAATCGCAACAAATGGGTTGTCATTTCAATGGAAGACCATTTACCATATGACTCAAGTTTTTGAAAACATGTGACTTCCTGGCAGTTTTCCTAAAGTCAGCCTCAAGCATCAGGACATGGTTTAAACTTGCCCCTTGGCATGACACTGAACCCTACCATTATATCATGGCAAGTATTAGAGAAAGTCTATTTGTGTGTTTCTGGATGAGCAAATATGTGGGGTGTACTCAGGGGGTTAATGACTGACATTGAGTTCACACATTTCCCACAAATCTGGTGGAAATGGTTGTTTTCCAGGAGCATGCTCCAGCAGGGAGGGTCGGCAGTAGATGGCGCCATTGCAGCTCTTCTGTGCACATCTGTGGTCAATCCTCAGAGCATGGGGATTGGAGGAGGGTCTATATTCACCATAAGAAATAAAGCAGGTGGATCTTCTCATTCATTTTTTGTGACTTGATTTTTTTTTTTTTCTCAAATGATAATTATTGATCAGGCCTACTTATTCTAATCGCTGATCTCTTCTCAGGGAACGTTAAAGTCTACAACTTCAGAGAGACTGTCCCTCAGTCATTCAACGCTAACTTGTTAAAAGAGTGTCCCACCACATTAAGCCTTTGCACAGGTAAGCAGAGTGATACATTTATGCACAGTAGCTGATAATACAGATCTTCCCCCAGAGTAAACCCAGTAACTGAAACTGTGACTGTGAAAGGTTTTTACTAATGGATCATTTTGGCTCATTTTCAACATGATTCTCAGCATTTAATCAGTTTTGCTCCTGTTTCTAACCCACATACAGTCAGTCCTCCTGAACTTCTGATCACTGACTTACATTATTTTCTTAACTTGTAGGCAGCCAGTGGATCGGAGTTCCTGGAGAGCTTCGAGGCTATGAGGCAGTTCACAAGCAGTATGGGAGGCTGCCCTGGGCCAAGCTGTTTGAGCCAACAATTGAACTGGCCAGGAAAGGCATCCCTTTGCCAGCCTTTCTGGGAAGTCTCCTGAACAACCCCATTGTGAAGCCGTCCATGGAAAAATCATCTCTCTGGTACAGCTTCTCTCTTACTGTGAATAGTAACTGAAAGTTTCCAAAGATTTCCAGAAAAGAGAAAAGATTTTTGTTGGCAACAATTTTATTTCAAGAATATCTGCTTTGTAGCCACATTGATAAGAAATGTGTGAGGGCACTGATAAACTACAATAATAGGGCATGTGACGCTGACTGGAGCCTTTTCTCATCCATGTGTCACTGCAGAAATCCTGGTGCAAAGGGCTCCTATAAATCCCTGGTTTAACTCATTCCATGCTACTTTTATGTAACTCCCTGGTTAACAATTAATTCTGAGTATTTAACTTTCAGGATTTCACATTGCATAATCGTGTGGCCTGGTCAACGTGCTTGTGTGAACACTTTTTGGATTAGAGAAAATGACTATTACATTCTAACAGCACAGAGTTTCACACTGTTGTTCTTAGTGGAACATTTTGGGAGAAGGGTTTACTGACCCCGCTCACCTTCCTTCAGAAATGTTTGTGTGAAATGTTGCTTTTCCGAACTGCATGGTTTAAAAAGCAGTCAGCCGAGGATTAGGTGTGGTGTGAAAAGCCTGGGAGTGTGTATCAAAGTGTGTATGCAGATGCAGAAACAAATGGCTGCAGAGAATCTCAGAATATTCATTCATAAATGTAAATGCATGGCATACGTATCTCTCTTCAGTGTCTTCTAATTTGATATATTTACAACATGCTTTACAACACTTTTTTCCAGTTCTCTGCAAATTGTCTGCAACAAGAACAAAACTGTTCTGAGCACAGGAGACATTCTGAAGTTTCCTAAACTCGCTGAAACCATGGAAACCATTGCAAAGCAAGGGGCAGATGCCTTCTACACTGGCAAGATAGGACATGACTTAATTCAAGACATACAAGCTGCAGGTTGGTGCAATGATAGCATACTGCCGGTCGGGGCCAGCTGGGGGTGAACACTTGAATAGACAGAAAAAGAAAAAGGACTTGTATGACATAAAAAAGTATTATTTAAGATAACAAGCTTTCTATATATTCTATATGTTTCTTTTAGGTGGGACGTTGACAATGCAGGATCTGAAGTCTTTCAAGGTGCTGGAGCAGGATGCATGGACAGTTCCTCTAGGAAATACTCAAATGCACATCGCACCACCGCCTGCTGGGGGCGCCCTGCTTGCCTTCATTCTCAAACTGATGAAAGGTGTCAAGACTTTTTCTCGATCCCCCTGAACTGATCTACTGTTGCAACTGAATGAAATTCTTGCATCTAATCTTGTACTGTGAGTTATAAAGAAGCGGAAAACGCGAAACGCTATAGAGCAAAAAAAAAAAAAACATTAACATACTGTTCGTTGTTGTTCCTTTTTTTCTGCAGAGTTTTCCTTGACTCCAAACTCCCTACACGGTGACCAGAAGATTCAGATGTACCATCATTACATAGAGGCTGTTAGATTTGCTAATGGACAAAAGAGGAACATTAATGATCCTGACTTCAATAATGGAAAGGTTGGGATCTGTACTACTGGGATATTACCTATGGAGCGTTTTAATATCATTCAGCTTATTGTTTTGGTTTCATGATCTATAACGTTACTGTTTTGTGCAGTTATTGTTCTCATCAAGCTTGTTTCCAACCACAGCACATCATTTTCACATATTTGGCAAGTCATAAATTTGTCAATACTGGACATATCAGTAATATATTCATAGAAGACCTTTGTTTTCTGCTAAATATATACAGAAAAAAAGTGACTTAAAACCCAAAATTATATCTTGTTTGTTTAATTCGTACAAAAACCTGAGTGTAAAAAGTGTAAAAGCAACAATTCACTATTTTATGGGGTTTATGTTCCAGACTTATTCTCAGAGACTAGTCTCATCATGATGTTCTTCTTTCAGAGTGCAGATCATTTGATTGATCCCTCCTTCATTAAGCACATAAGAGGGATGATTTCTTCAAACCGCACCCATAATAACTCCTACTACAATATCAGCCCTTCCTCTGATCACGTTGGGACGACACACGTGTCCGTCCTGGATGAAGATGGACAGGCTGTGTCTGCCACCAGCACCATAAACCAATTGTGAGCAGGAAGACTCCTCCAACAGAAGATTTGTGCATCACTGCCTTATTATAGGAAATTGTGCTATGATATAATGTTCATCCCCTTGGTCTATTGTGTTGTGTTTTGCTCTGTAGATTCGGAGGTTGCGTTTACTCTCCAAAAACAGGCATCATCCTCAACAATGAGCTGTCTGACTTTTGCGAGAGAGCAGACACTGTTAGAGCAGGTAAAGTCACAGACATAAACATAGCCTTTCAACCCAAGCCAATTGAATTTAAGACATTACTGAAGGTAGACGTTTAGTCTGTGTCCAGTCTGATATGGAGTCTAATTGTTGTCATAGGTGAACGGCCTCCCTCCTCAATGACTCCAGTAATACTGGAGTCAAAGTCCGGCAGAATCCTTGTTATTGGTGGATCGGGAGGAAGCCTGATCACCACAGCAGTGGCCTTGGTAACTTAATTGAACTCAGCTTTAATACTTGTGTCGTCTAGTCTCTTATTTGTTTGCTTACACGATTCTCTTTTCCTCTTGCAGTCTATAATAAATCACCTGTGGCTGGGGATGAATCTGGAAGATGCCATTGCTGCTCCCATAATTTTTGTTGATTCGCATAACAGGGTGAATTTTGAGCGTGGTTTTAACAAGGTGAAGTATTCATATTTTCATCCACACTGTCCATTAATAGCATTCAAATTCACTAGTCTGTGACATCTGTCTAATTAATAATTTTGTTTATTAGATGGTTCTCTTATTGTCAGAACATAATACAAAGTCATATTTAATTTCCCTGAAATCAGTTTTGAAATGTGAAGTAAGAAAGGATAAGTGTTATTAATACGTGTGTGTGTGTGTGTGTGTGTGTGTGTGTGTGTGTGTGCCCTCAGTCTGTGAGCAATAACCTGGAAGCTCTTGGACACAGACCTGGAAACTGGCCATACTTCTTAAACGTAGTCAATGCTGTAGAGAAGGAGAAAGGCTGCATTGTGGCTGTGTCTGACAAACGGAAGACAGGAGTGTCATCTGGATACTGACCATACGACGACCATGAGGACGCAACACCTTCCCACTAAAATCCGCCCTTAAGACTGACTGAGCTTTTAGCCTTAAGAACGATGAATGTGCCACATCCCTGACAACAAAATGTGAGCAATGTGGAGCTTCAGTTCTTCCCTGATAGAACTGAATAGCAACAGGAAATTACTAATCTCAAAGGGTAATTCCAGTGTATCATATCTCAGATCTCATTTTCATAGTTTTGGGTATCATTTCTATCGGTTAGACACCATTGTACCCACCGAAGTAATTGCAGAGATCCTGGAAATCGCCTACATGACTCCAGATTATTTGGAGATAAAGCGAATGTTAAAAGGTGAGAAAGAGAAAATGTGAATAAATTCACGTTTGCATGCACTACTGTTATGTGAATATTAGGAGTTGGCTGCATAGAGATGAACACACTAATTTTCCAGTCGGGTGCCATGATGTAATTGAAGGAGCCTCAATCAAATCTCAGAAGGGTGAAAACAAAGTAGAAAAATGTGGTGGAGATGTAGCATTTGTGTTTGTTTCCTGCTCTCATTTGATGAAGGTTAGTCTCCTCATCGCTCCACACAGATCTGATGTTTTCACCTAACACTATTTTGGTTAAGTCACTTGCTTCATGCAACTCATGATTTATGTTTGTTCATACTTTATTTGTCAGATCTGTTTCTATTGAACTCTGTCACCTTTTGCTTTTAACCATACACCAGCTTTTTCACCTCTCAAGTGTTTTTTTTTGTTTTCTTTTAGATTTTAATCCACTCAGGTTTTTAATGTGCAAATTGAAAATGCATATGATGAAAACATTCTTACTGAGTGCACAAGAAATGTTGGTGATAATCAGTCCTGCACAACTACAGCAAGTTTGTTAGGTCAAAGTTGAACCACTAAGTCAGTGTCTAAACTGCTGTGGATAATGAGTTGAACGTTTGAGTAAGGACAAAATAGTCTTAGCCCAATGTCCACTTACTTGCTATCAGTCTCTAACAAATAGAACATGCTCATGACAGTTGAATTGTCTAGAAAACACTTGTATCTGGACCTTGACTTGGATTATTTTGTCAGAATTTGGGTAAATTCGTAACATTTGTCTTTGGCTAACCACAGTGTTGCTGTTGGCATGTTCCCAGATCACAGCAATTAACTTGCTGATGGTGATTTAAAGAAATAGTGCCCCAAAAAAAGTTGCCATAAATTGGAACAATCCTTTGCGCTGATTGGATCATCCATACAGTATATATATATATATATATATACACATTTTTAATCCAGCCAGTCATCACGCACTGATGTCATTCCACTTGAATAATACAGACTAACGCACAATTAGCACGCCATCCAACTGCTGACCAAAGTGTGTGCAACGGCGAACTATAGAAGCGAATCCACTGTAGTCCAACAAAACCAAACCTACCACTGTTTAATACTGATATTTTGTTTTCTGACTGAACTATGTAAGTCTCTGTAGGAACTGTTTACTGTAGATGAGCCACGTAACCCTTTCACAGTGACATCCTGACTGACACATGAGTTGAAGGTTGTTTTAGGCTGTCAGTTGCCCAAACTGGAAATTTTTACTGTGACCTTTTTACTGAATGTGAAACAGCTTTATTCAGGTCCTACAGCGTGTTGTGATCTTTTTTTAAAGGTTGAGGAAATGCTATAGAATTTTAAATAAACCAAGCAATAGATTCACAATGAAATTATGTTAAAAACCTAAATGTATTTTTTTTTTTTACACTATCAAGATGTCATTTTGTATTTTCTCTGTTTTAATATGTCAAAATGTTTTGTAATAACTACACTTTTTTTTACTATTGTTAACTGCGAATATGTGTTGTCACAATAAAACCATTACGTCCACAACAAAGCCTGTCTCTCATCTTCACCAGAAATACATGAACATGCGTCAGTTCAACCGAAACACCTACAATACACTTTCCACTGCAAACTGCAGTTCTTTAAATGTTTATCCCTTGTTGTTGGCATAGTATGATCAACACTAATCTACTTCATATTCTCCTGTTTGCCTTATTTCAGTGCAGCACTGAAACAAAAGACACAGTAATGAGATACATTTCAGTGGAGAGACTTATGAATTAGTAATGATTTCTTAAGTGGATTCTGCTCCGTTTTCCTTCGAGCCACTAGATGTGAGTTATGAGAACATGCAAATTTGAGTCTGTCTGAAGCGCCACTGTCTTTGTTGTACGACAAATGGGTTAATGTGGATAAGCTGTGGATTCATAGCTTCAGTGTCACGATATTACCCCCTTTGTATAAGTAACAGCTATTTAAAGTGAGCATCATTTTAAAGGATACAGAAAACGTCTCTCCAGCAACAGTCTTTCAGTCAAAGCAAAAGCTGTTAAGTAATCCTGTGATGACTCTTTTAACTTCCGGTGTTAGCACACTTTCAGTCACAATGTCGCTTGATGAAGCAAATTATCTCAACAGTAATTACTTGATGTTTTTATACATGCATTTTGTATGTGTGCATTATTATTTGGAACCATCGTGACACCATCCAAGGCAGTGGGAGGAATTAAAACTACGTAGACTTTGATACACACAGAGGCTGGAGATTTTTTTCATGCCTAGAGGGTGAGTAAATTGGCCTGTCTGAGTTGCATAACTCTGAAGTTCATTATAACTACAGTATGTGGAAGGGAGAACATGCTTAATTGGGCCTTAAAGGAAAATTCCAGTGTGACCACTCATTTTTCTCCATCCCCTTAAAAATGATTGTAACCACGCAAGGTAACACAACTGAAGATATTTTACTTCTGCAGGCATCCTTGTCGACTAGGGAACTAACTCTGTAATATGTTAATAAGTATGTGCCTTAGTTCCCTATATATAGCTGCCTAGTTTGAATCTGTGGACTGTGGACCTTTGCTTCATGTCATCTCCCCTCCTTATCCACATTTCTTTATTTTTATTTTTTTTTCAGTCTTTTCAAGCTAAAAAAAAAGATTTTTCGCCCCTTTAAGTATTAATTATTAATAAAAAATTATCAATTGTTTAAATTCTACAATGAATTATTATTTAAGTGCTTTTACTTTAAAATGTCACATTCTATTTAATCTGGTACTTGGTGTTTGTTTGTAATTATGCATCTTCATTTCCATATGTAAATTTGATCATTCACACTAAGTAATATTAACAAAACTACTGTATTGACTGCACAACCTGACACAAAAAAGTAAAATTTACTTGGGTAATGAGAGTGAAACTGGCAACCTTGTACGCGCTCAAGGAATGACGTCAGATGAGGAATTGCGCTCGTTCCTTCGGGGACACACCCACAGGACACACCTCAACAACAGGACCTTGGCCAGGGACAATGATGGATTCCTGTTGTCTCGTCGGCTCAAGTCAGTGACTACTGAATACGTAATATTAGCATTAGCTGACCAGCTTATCCTGCTATCTAGTTAACATACTGGCACACGCGCTGCTACTGGCTAATATTTATCTGCAGTTGCTCAGCTGTTTTGAATAAAAATGTGCTCTTGGCATGAGTCTTGTAGGTCGGACTAATGTTTTGAGAGGAGGGGTATGTGGGTTTCTTTCCCCGTCCTCCGGCTGGGAAAATCAGCGGGCTCTGATGGACCACATGTTGGTGTTACAAGTTGTTTGCAGTTGTAAATTGTTGCTGTTACCTGTTGCTTTCTCCCTCTAAGCACACGCACCAGCGGTGTCACGGATACAAATGAACTGCTACCCCTGTGAGTGTAGTTGGCCATGTGTGTTTTACCGGCCTCACAAACAACGCACGAAACGTGATACTGTCAGTGCAGTTTCTGTCAGACATCCTCAAACGCAGCTGGGAGGAGAAAAGTTGTCCAGTGAGGAAAAAAGGGGTCAAGTAAGGTTGTCAAAAGTAAATAAAAATGATGAAAGTGCTTATTCAAGACCTCAGTTCAGTTCAGTCTGTCTGAAGTTTGGCTTGCAGCAAAACCAGATTGTTCAGTGAGTTTTTCTGTACCAGCACTTTGTGCAGGTTAAAAACAAAGGGAAAAAAAGATCCTATTTTGTTTGCTCAGGAGTTTTTCTTTTGGACAAGGTCTCCAAAGCAGTAACCAGTATAATCTTTATACTAGTATTGTACCAAAGTCTGGTATGCTGATAATCTAGTGGCAAGGAAGAGACTCATAGCTGAGTAGCAACAAGCAGAGTCAGTACATGCCCTGAAAATACACCAACAGGGACTTAAAGGTATATTAGGCAGCAAACAATGTATGGACTCATATGGAAATAATCCCTCAATCATCATTTAGTAGAGCGAGTTTGATTTACTTTTCATTCCTTTGTCATTTATAATGTTGCTATAATATTCTGAAATATTTTTAGAGGAGCCTATATTTCTCTTATGGCTTTATCTAACGACTTTAGTTGTAATTTCTCATATTGTAATAAATGGTGTGTTTCGGATATTTTATTGGCATATCACTACAATATTTTGTCGTTTTTCTCTTTTTTAGACATCAACAGCAAAGTTACTGCAAGTAACAGTGCCCTCTCAGTGTACAACTGCAGTAAGTTACACCAACAAAGCAAGACACCTGACCATGCCGGTAACATTACAAAATATTGGTGCTGTCATTGTGAGTATGTGATTTGAATCTGTAAATGTTGATTTTGGTGAGATTCATCTCCCAATTACTTCTGGTCAAAATAATTCTGTGACAGTGGATTTACTGAATTACTAGCAGTTCTTTTGATTGTTGGTTAATCTGCATGTTGTTTTCAGGATTAATTGTGTGTCCAAAAAGTAGTAATAGTATAAAATAGTAAAAAAAAAAAAAAACTATCATAATTTCCTAAAGCCCAAGTTGACATTTGAATAATTAAATATAATAAAAGATTTAGAAGCAAAAAGGATTGTGCAACTACTACAACTACTATAAAATAGTTGTTGATAAATTTTCAGTTCATAGACTAATAGACTAATTCATTGGCTAATAGTTTCACCACTACAAATGATAAAGCATTTGGCTCATTCATAATCAATGCAGGCAAAACAAACCAAAACAAATATTAAATGAAACGACTTTTGCCAAACCTCCCTGTCACACAGAACATCCATAAATCTCATATTTGTCCAGTAAAGTTAATCCACAACTATAAGTGAAGTTGGCAAACATATTGCGTGAATCAAGATTAAATCTGGAATCAAAAAATAAGGTAAAATGAGTCATTTAGACAATTGCAATACGTCAAGGAAGTGACCTTCTGAACTGACCCTGAATCTCAATGATTCACAGAAAGAAAACGATTCTGCAGTGGGAACTACTGCTCTATTGACAAACACATGGACACAAAGTTTTGGTTAACACGACATAACAACAACCTCGGACCTGTCTCACTCTGCAAACTTTGGCAGAGTGAAACATATCAGATTATGATGGCTACACTGTACACCTGAATATGACTGGACATTACTAGTCAGCTGGTAGCAACACAGCAAGCACATGCGTCATGAATGAAACAGCTGATGCCAAATAAGCCTGACTTCAGTGCTCTGCCTGAACAAACACTATGCACCATTCATTGTTTTGCTCTGTCAGAAATGCAACAAAAGCAGAGGCAAATTTTCTATCCATGTTTATTTCCCATATATGTTTTTCTCCGCAATACCATTATAGTCATGCTAGTGTCGTGGCTTCAGGTAGAGTCTATCCGTCAGTTGGTCAGACCACCACTTTGGTCCAGACGAAAATAGCTCAAAACCTGTTGGAGGGATTTCTGTTAAATGTTGTTCAGAGATTCACCGTATCACTGTGGTGATCACCTCACTTTTCATTTTGTGCCACCAGCAGGTCAGAATCTTTACTTACTCCGTGAAATACCTCCACGTCCACTAGATGGATTGCACAAAAGTTTGTACGGGTCCTAATGACTTGTGACCACCTGGCCTTTGGTGAGCTAACAGCATGACTGTAGACTCTTGTTAACCATTAGCGTGGGTACGGTATGTGAAGACCCCACGGCTGTCAATCAAAACAGACCAGCTAAGGAAAGTCATGAATAATAGAAAACAAGCATCTACAACATCTATCGTACCAATTTGATAAAAGCATTAAAAACATTAATGCTGAAATTTACCAGATAAATAATCCAATCACACTGGTAAAGTCCTTCATTTAATTTAAAATAAATATATAGTTTTTATCACATGTGAACCAGTCAGTTGTTGCAAAAAGCTAGTAAAGGCATTGTAATTTGACACATTTATACATTTCAGTAATTATGTAACACACTTAGATCCCAGCAGAGAAAAGAGGAGTCCTGAATCCCAGTGGTGGCAGTGAGCAGTGACAGCTGTAATGTTGTTAAGAGGTCATTACAGGCCATTGCACTCTGGGTTGTGGGAAATTACTGTAAGTCATTATGTATGTGCTACAGGACTGTTTGTCCCTGAGGAGTTGTACAGTAATCCTTCATTTTAACAACAGCTCTGTTTGCTGTCACCTCACATGAACAGTCCCAGTGAAATATGTTAAAGTTTTAATTGACTGAAATTTGCTATTTAAGTTCCCTGTTAGTTTTGGTTGATTTTTTTTTTCCTGTTGATGTTTCCTTTACTAAGAGTTCAGTTGTTAGTGATTACTGTAGACATCACATATTGTATTTTTAATGGTCAGCAATAATAGGAAACAGCTTTACACAGCTGATGATTTACAAAAGTGCTTCATAAATAGAT